ACAATGGCAGATTTCCACAGCTGGGGAAGAACTCCTTGTGCCCAAATAAGATTGAAGAGGTGTAAGAGGACTACAAGGGCTGACCGATGTAAATGTTGTAACATACGAATATGAATGTCGTCAGGCCCAGCTGCCGATGATCGGCAAGCTGAGAGCGTTGCCTCCAGTTCTTGAAGTGTAAAAGGCACATTATACTGTTCTTCTCTGAGAGAAGAAAAGTCCAAGGGTATTAACTCTCTGGCAGACTTTGAGGAAAGAAACGAGGGGCATAGATGGAGCCCTCGGGAAATACGGACCAGATGTGTGCCAAGTTCAATGGCAACGTCGAGAGGGTTTGCTACATCAACACCAGCGACCCGTAGAACAGGAGCCGGGTCAGGAGAGTATTTACCACTCAATTTCCTCACTTTTTTCCAGACTGCACTCATAGAAGAAGCAGAGGTGATGGTGGAAACATAGTCTCGCCAACAAGTGCGTTTAGCTTCACAGATGACATGGCGAGCGATCGCACGCTTCTGCTTAAAATCAAGAAGTCTCTCAGCAGTTCTATTGTACCGGTACCTGCCCCATGCAGCACGTTTCAAACGTACTGCACGAGCACAAGCAGGAGACCACCAAGGCATGCACTTCCGAGAATGCCTGCCTGAGGTTTGGGGTATAGAATGAGAAGCTGCGGTATAAACTGACGTCGAGAAGATGTGTAGGAGCTCATCAATGGAGGATGAAGAAGGAACCTCACTAAAAGCAGTGAGGTGAGAGTAAAGATCCCAATTTGCCCGATCAAATTGCCAGCGAGGGCTACGGAAAGGTGGTGAATAGGAAGGAGAAGTAAGAATGATCGGAAAATGATCGCTGTCATGTAAGTCTGGTAGAACAGACCAGGTGAAGTCTAGTGCAGTGGAGGAAGAGCAGACTGATAGATCGATGCAAGAGAGAGTATGAGTACGAGGATCAAAATGGGTGGGAGTACCCGTATTTAAAACATGGAGGGGGTGAGAGGCGAGAAAAGCCTCCAACTGGATGCCACGTGAGTCACAATGAGACCCCCCCCCAGAGGAAATGGTGGGCATTAAAATCACCAAGTAACAGAAGTGGTGGTGGTAAGGATGAAACAAGAAAGGCAAAGTCTGGGATAGAAAATGCTCGAGAAGGAGAGAGATATAAAGAACATATTGTAAGCCACTTATTCAAGTGGATACGGGCTGCAGTGTAATGCAGCGAGGTATGGAAAAAGAGTTGACAGTACGGAATATCATTGCGTAGAAGAAGGGCACTTTCATTAAAGGTCCCATCTGAGAAAGGATCCGAAGAATACAATAAATTATAGCCTGAGATAGGTTGGAAAACAGCAGAGTGTAATTTTGGTTCTTGTAAGCAAGCACCAACAGGGGAAAACCTGGAAAGCAACATCTGAAGCTCACCCCGATTACCCCTGAGGCCGTGGATATTGCACTGTAAATAGGCCATGATTGGCGATGAAGAAAATATCAGGAATCTGTAGGTAAAGGCACCTACGGACTAGAGGGGTTAGAAAAGTCAACGTGTGGTGGCATTGGAAGACGTTCAAGTAGCAAAGGAACGGAGCGTTGCGAAGAATGGGGTTGTAAAGATGGAGGAGAGGGAAGAGAAGGAACAGGAAGTGAATCAGTGTCCATTGAAGGTTTAGTCTCTGCAATATATTGGAGATAGAAGGAGGAGGGTGAGTAAAGATTGGGACAGTAATGGACTGTACCAAAGTAGAGGGGGAGGGAAGAGTGTAAGGGACTGGAGATGAAGTGTGGGGGGGGGGACAGAAGAGGCAGAAACCTGGGAGGTGGCAGAAGAGGGAGAAACTTGGGAGGGGACGGGGATGGAAGGCATAGTACGAGGAGAAGGGTGAATCTCCACACTTGTAATAGAGCCAGAGAGAGGGGAAGAACTAGGTACAGAGACTGGAAAGGTAAAGTGTGGAGGTGGAAGAAGGGAAGGAAGGGGCAAAGAAGATTTGAGCAATGTGGATTTTTTGGACTTCTGAGTAGAGGGGCGATTGGTATTAGGTGTCGTACGAGTCTTGTCGATACTGGGGCTTGTGAGGAAGGACGTGAAGATGCGAGAACAGACCGAGTTGTAGTCGGGACGTCAGAGCCAAGGACAGCAAAAGGATTAGATGCCGTAGTGGCTATGGGAGGGGTAACAACAGAGGAGGCTGCAGAAGATGGGACCCCAGAAGTGGGGGGATGTTTGTTAACACGAGAATAAGAAACATGGGGTAGTCTCCCTTGGAGGCGGAGATGAGTAACTGCCATAGCATAAGGGAGACCTTCTGCCTCTTTGAGGCAACGGATTTCACGTTCATTTAAGTAGACCTGGCAACGGCGGGAGTACGAAGGGCGAGCTTCATTACAATTAAGGCAAGATTGAGGTTGACCGCAAGATGTATTAGAATGGTCGTCGGCACCACAGACTGGGCATTCAGCCATAGATCTGCAATATTTCGCTGGGTGACCAAAACGCCAGCAATTTCTACATTGTTGCGGTGTAGGTATCACCTTTTGAACTTGTAACCGATGTCCCGCGACATATACAGAGGACGGGAGTTCTCGGCTGTCAAAAGTTAAACGAGCCACATTGCAAGGGTAACGTCTCTGCCCCCGGGCAGGAAGGAGTTCCAGCTGTTCAAAAATGTCATTGCCACATGACTGGAAATTCTGTTGGACTATGGTATGGGGCAGAATGACAGTACCACTACAAGAATTGAGAGAAAGATGTTTTTCAATAGTGACAGGAGTAGTATCGATATTCGAAAGGAGAGAAAGATCATGAGCTTGGGCAGCATTCTGGACAGTGACGATGCGTATACCGCTCTTGAGAGCATGAAATGAAATATCTCTACCAACATGACGCAGGAGCGCTTTGCCAATACTATGGTCAGAAAGGTAGGCAGAAGAAGAAGTCGGTCTTAAAGTAAAGAATTTAGTCCATTGTGTGGTCCGAAACTGAGTGTGGAGAGGGAGTGCTTGACGTGTCGGTCTTTTCCAAGTAGAATGGGAAGGTAACGAAGGAGCATCATCAGGAGATTGACGTTGGCATTTAGGAGTAGGACCGGAGTTGGTCAGGCGTGAAATGGGAGGGCGATTCGAAAATTGCCGTACCGTAGAGGGAGAAGCCGGAAGCATAGTCAAAGGAGAGCGGAGTTCAGACAAATCGAAGGAGTCAGTCGAAGCCCTGGTACCTGAAGCGGGTGAGGAAACAGCACCAGCAAGAGGTACAGGGGCATCAGGAGTGTCCAAAGAGTGGTCTAAACACAAGGCAGGGTCAGAATGGGGTGCGGTATCAAGAAGGGGCCCGGGGGTAGTGGGTTCATGGACTAGGGCTGCCATGGTTAGGTTACTCCTTTGCTTTTTGTTTTTAAGAAAAAAAAAGAAAGAAAAGAAAATAAAAATAAAAAAAGAATAAAAAAAGGGGGGAGCGGGGAGGAATAGTTCCCAGGAGGAATGAAAGGGCCGGAAATCTCCCTCCGCGCCCAAGAGGACCTCAACACCGCTAGTAGCGCAGATGCAGCACGGAACCCGTGCCATACCCTACCCTTCATGCCAGTAAACCAGCAATCCGGGATAGCAACCTCACATCTGCCGAGCTACCTCGGTGGACAAAAGAGAGGGCGGCCGGATATCCGCCACAAAGCATACCTCCTTTGGCCACCACCCCCGGAATCCGAAAGGTGGCTTCCAGAGATACACCCGTCGCCCGAAAGACACCGAAAGCTACTCTGGGATACCGGAGAGGGATCGGGACATCCCCAGGCAATCCAGATTCCACGGCAAACTACGCCACCGCCAAGAACCTCAACGGAATGGGATGGACCCCGGTGTCCTTTCCCCTACCTAGGAACTAGCGTGCCTGTGGGAGAAATCCCAAAGGCCAAAAAGAGGAAGGGCAAAAGGGAGGGGTGAGGAGGAGGAGGAATGGAAAAAGGGGAGGATGGGATAGGGGAGGGGAGAATGGGGGGTAATTAGGTTCGGTCTGAGGAAGAAGACCGACAGGGCTAATTCCTCAGACCAAGAGCCTCTTCACCACGCCAAGGAGCCCCCCTTGAAGAGGATAAATATGTTAAACTATCTGCGATTGTATTGCTTGTGTGTGTATATATACAATCTTGTCTGTCTCTCTATTTATTCATATCTACATCCATATACATCCATCTCCATTATCTTCTCTCTCTCCATCTCATCTCTCTCCATCTCATCTCTCTCCATCTCATCTCTCTCCATCTCATCTCTCTCCATCTCATCTCTCTCCATCTCATCTCTCTCCATCTCATCTCTCTCCATCTCATCTCTCTCCATCTCATCCTCTCCATCTCACTCTCTCCATCTCATCTCTCTCCATTCATCTCTCTCCATCTCATCTCTCTCCATCTCATCTCTCTCCATCTCATCTCTCTCCATCTCATCTCTCTCCATCTATCTCTCTCCATCTCATCTCTCTCTCCATCTCATCTCTCTCTCCATCTCATCTCTCTCTCCATCTCATCTCTCTCTCCATCTCATCTCTCTCTCCATCTCATCTCTCTCTCTCTCTCTCTCTCCCCATCTCTATATCTAGGTGTTAAAAGAATGGGTCTGCTAGGTAAGTTGCTGGCACCACCCGCCTGTCCACTTGTCAGAGAGGAAGGCCGGCTGATACAAGAACTGGTTTGTTCACTTGTTAAGTGGTAACAGTATCTACAGTTAGTCTACAGTTAGACTAACATGAATCAGATGCAAGTGCGCTAGATAGGTTGTGATTCAAGGAAATAGAGCTACCATTCCTTTCCTTGGATCAAATCTGATTACCTCCCATTTCCCGGATTCTGTATGACTCATACAGGTTTAGTGCTTCTCCATGAGTATATAATTTTTAAATTCATGCATATGTAATAATAAAGCAGTAATAAAATAAAAACCAATGAGAGATAATAATGTTCAGGTTAATGAGGATAATTTCTTGATTAAAGTTAGGATATAAAATGAAAGCTGAAAATAATTCAATATTTTTTGAAATACTGTACAATAATCAAAAGTTTATTATTTTAGTAAGGTATAAAATTAGCTTTAAATGCAGGATACTGGAGCCATAAATTTTTAAAACATTGGTCGTACTGAAGACACCATTAATAAGACAAGGTCGTGAGTGCATATAAAAAAATGTACCAATAAATCTTTCAAACAAATTTCTTGTTTATTCGATACAATAAACTCGTGAAATGTGTGGTCAGGAGGAGGGTGAATCAAGGAGTGTCGTAGGAAGAGATGATAACAGCGTGTATCACCTTGCACGCTTGCTTCCATCCTTCCTCAGCCAGTGGCGTCCAGGCAGAACCCAGGTTGTCCTTCAGATAGTTTAGCAGCACCGGGAACAAGAGCTGGTAATGGTGAAATTGGATCAGAAGTTTGCACGTAGGAGAATGGAAGAACGAAATGGAAATGTGCGATGTGAGGGTTGGTTAAGAATAAGGGGATAGGGGTAAGCTCCTAGCAACTGCAAAAGGACTGTGGAGATGCAGATACTTATGCACTGGTTAGGATGCCCAGTGGGGTATGACAAAAACCCATTGTGACGACTTCAGTCCTAATTTTTTGCGCTAGTGCTCACAGAATGAGCTGCGGGTGCACAAACTAGCAGCTCAAGCGGCACAACCAAGAACTAAAGGTAACTTTAGCCACAAGTGGCGTCTTCAATCCTAATGAAGACGCCACTCGTTGGTGTCTTCATTAGGACTGTGCACTCCTGACCTGTGCACAAGTGTGTTTTTCTCACCACTCCCAAAATCTGAGGTTACCTTGGAAGGAGCTGGAATCCATATAAGGACAGAAAAGATCATGAAAGACAGCAGTAGAAACTAACACCTTACTGGCCTTCACTCAGAGATTCTTACATAACTTAGTACCTTACAGGTGATATACGGTCGCATCCATTCACTGAAGTCTTGAGAGTGTCTGAGGTGAGGAGGAAGGAAAGATGCAAAGAGGAGTGAATTTTAAAAAGCCACGAAACAAACTTAAAATGTAGATTTAAAAAATGCTTTGCCCTTTCCTCATAAAAAAAAGGAAGGGGGTTGAAAATATTTTGGACACTACTGAAATTTCTAGTTTCATACTTATTTGGACTTTCAGTGCCATCATTTCCGTTGGAGTTGGTCTCATTGTGACTAGTGGAGACCTATAAGGCGTTATTGCTTAACCTATTACTAGTATTCCATATACTGGGATTGCTGCTATTTTAATAGATATATTGCTTATTGCATTGCTTTATATAAAAAGGTATATGTATACTTTAGACTGAGCGTTGCTTTGCTCTTACCGCAAAGTCGTCCTTGGGTATGCCTCTAGTGTTGTGGTTGGCACCAGTGTTCTTCAACAGCTCCACCAACACAGACACATCGTCTATGTTGTCCACCATGCTCGTTATTGCCATCAGTACCTACGAATAAAGATAATTTTTTTTGTAAATATAATTTTAAATGAAGCAGCTGTTATGTCTCTGACAGCATCAATACACTAGAGAGCCAGAAACACTTCGCACACTACACACAATATTTTAAAACTCATTTTCTCTACAAATAATGTACATATAAGGCCTGGTGATGGACCGGGCCGCGGGGGCGTTGACCCCTAGAACACCCTCCAGGTATACCATGGAGCTCTAATTATTATAGTGTATTTATGAGGGTGCCTTCACTAAATTCAACTTCAGTAACAAAAACACTGTGGGATCAAGTCAACCATGTAATAAATGAAACAAGATGTGAAGATATCCTAAACACGGATCCGAACCTCTGCCTAGAAAGAATTAACTCTGTGGCACTTGAGGTATGTTCAAAGCACATTCCTTTAATGAAAAAAAAAAGAAATTGTAAACTAGAGACACGCTCCCTACACAGACGAAAGCGAAGAATGAGAGCTGCTGAAAGGGGGCCAGTATAACATATGAAGGGAGGCACTAGTCAGAGAAATAATAAATATCGAACTTAAGCTTAAAGAATCATACAGGAGACAAGAAACTCAGGAAGAACTAAAAGCCATAAATGAAATTCAAAGAAACCAAAAAATATGTCTTTTCTATACCAAATCTAAGGCAAAAACAACCAGTATCGGACCCCTGAATAGACGAGATGGGACTTACACAGATGACAGCAAATAAATGAGATACTATAGTCCCAGTACGAACGATTATTTTCCTTTCTAACCCATTAATCAATATATACATATTATTTACTGGATACTTTTAAATATTTCCTGCAATACTTCATTTTCAAATTAGGAGATGACATATAAGGGATACAAAAAGACGAAATAACTGAGGTTGGAGCTACTCTCCTCTTCCTCAAATCAAATTTATCTGCAATCCCATTCCTCGAATGCTGTATAACCAGGAGTTTAGCAGTTCCCCGTAAATATACTACTGCTGCTACTGCTGTTGCTGCTACTACTACTGTTACTGCTACTGCTGTTGCTGCTGCTACTGCTGTTGCTACTACGATTAATAATAATAATAATAATAATAAATAAATAATAATAATAACAATAATAACGTGGAACTGACCGTGGTGCCGTGGGCAACAAGGCGCTTGTTGGTCCTAAGTTCATCCTCCGTCAAGCCAACGAAGCCCTTGAACCTGGTCTGTATGAGGGGAGCGTCCTGGAACAACCTGCAGATGGCAGTGCAAACCTTAGCCGAACAACCTAATTTGTTATTCTATTAACAGCAAAAGACACAAGAAGCAGCATATATTAAGATTTTGTTGGGTAAAAAGACACTAGACCAACTAATGAGACATTACTGCGACATTTCGCCCTGTAGAAGCTCCTTGAGAGCGAAATATAGCAGTAATAAATTTCTTAGTAGCTAATGTGTCCTTTTATCTAATATATTACCAGTGGTTCTACTAATAAATGTGGTAGTAAATTTTTAACGAGGCTTAGATTATAAGTATATTTTTACAATGGTTTTATCCTCGCTGTATAGCCCTTGTGGCTTAGCGCTTCTTTTTTATTATAATAATAATAATAATGGCTTTATCTTACAATTTTTGTATTATTATTATAATCAAAAAGAAGCGCTAAGCCACAAGGACTATACAGCGCTGCAGGGCAGGAAGGAAGCGAGGGCATCAGGTGGCAAAAGGGAGATGGATGAGTAATAGGTTACGGATAACAGCGGGGCAGTGGATGGTGAAAGGGTAAAGGGCAGCAAGAGACTGAACTAGAAAGGGCTGAGGGGAGTGCGAAAAGTATCATCAGAGTTTGTGGAGTAAATCAGTCGTTGTCAAGAAGTCAATGAGAGAGTCAGGATTAAAGGAGGGTCCATCAGCAAGAAGGGAAGGTAAAGAGAGAGTAGTAGAACAAAGACGACGTTGGAGGTAAATTCTGCGTGCTCGTTGATAGAGAGGGCAGTCTAACAGAATGTGGCTAATCGATACTGGAACTTGACACTGCTCACAGAGAGGAACAGGGTGCCTCTCCATGAGATACCCATGAGTAAGACGAGTGTGGCCAATGCGAAGGCGGGAGAGAGTGGTCTCCCAACCTCGGCACTGATGACAAGAAGACGGCCAGTAACCTATTCTCGGTTTAATAGAATGAAGTTTGTTACCGAGCAGAGTTGACCAACGTTGTTGCCAACGGGTGCGAAGGTGGGTAGCTATTGCAGCAAAATAGTCCAGAAATGGAACACCTCGATAGGAAATTGGTAGGTCATGTACTGCTGACCGCGCAGCAGTGTCTGCCTGTTCATTGCCCTGTACGTCGACATGACCAGGGACCCAACAAAAAACAATATCTTTATGTTTGGTAGAGATACGGCGTAGCCAAAGTTGGATATGGAGAACTAGGGGATGAGATGTATCAAATTTTCGTATAGCCTGTAGAGCACTAAGGGAGTCTGAGACTACTACAAATGATGACACAGGCATAGATGCGATACGAATAAGTGCTGCAAGAATGGCATACAGTTCAGCAGTAAAAATGCTAGCTGAAGATAGTAAATGTCCCCGCACGACGCTGTCCGGAAACACTGCTGCGAATCCGACGCCGTCTGAAGACTTAGAGCCATCTGTGTACACAGCGGTGGCATGAGAATGGGAGTGGAAGTGATCAAGAAAAAGAGAGCGGGAAGCCACCGTAGGCAGTTGAGCTTTCGAGCAAGGGAGTGAGAAAGAACAGACCCGAACAGCTGGAACTTCCCAGGGGGGTAGGGAAAAGTGAGATGCTACATGAACATATAAAGGTGGTAACTGAAGGGAAGACAAGAGTGAATGTAGGCGAAGAGAAAAGGGACGGAGCAAACAGGGGCGGCGAACGAATAAAGAATGTCTACTAATATCGGTGACCATTCTATAAATGGAAGGATTGTGTAGATCGTGAGAGCGTACATAGTAGCGAAGGCAATGGGCATCACGGCGATCAGACAAGGATGGAACATTCGCTTCTGTATAGAGGCTCTCAACAGGGGAAGAGCGAAAAGCACCAAGGCACAAACGTAATCCTTGGTGATGGATAGAGTTAAGGCTAGAGAGAGTAGCAGGAGAGGCCGCGGAATAAATCTGGTCACCATAATCGAGTTTCGATAAAACGAGGGCTGAATGTAGGCGAAGCAGAGTTCGACGATCAGCTCCCCAGGAAAGATGAGCAAGGGTTTTAAGAAGGTTTAGCCGGCTGTGACAAGTTGCCTTCAGAGAGGTTATGTGAGGTTTCCAGGATAACAATTTTTGTAGAAATTAATCTTGTGTTCCATACATAGTTAAGTCTTTGAGAGCACTTGTCTTACCTGAGGAAGAAATTGACACCATGTTCCTTGAGGTCAGGTCTGACCAGGTCCCAGGTCCTGACTATGGCTGTGCGGTGACGCAGGGTGAGACCTGTGGTAGCGTCGGCCACGTCTGCCTCAGGTCCCAGGTCCTGCTCCTCTGAGAACGTCATGGCTTTCACCTGTACCACCATCGTAAAACATTATCAACAACAAATGCTTTGAGGCAGGTGATGGGCTCTTAATTCGAGGAACGGGAGCTGCCCTCCCTCCCTCGGATCAAGCCTGACTACCTCCCAGTCCCCCAGGTGGTGTCCCTTGCCCTGGTAGGCAACGCTCTCGCCTTATACACCGAGTGTCCGTGGTTCAATCCCCGACCGGGTGAAAACATTGAGAGTTTCCTTACACCTGTCCCCGTTCACCTAGCAAGCAAGTAGGTACCTGGGTGTCAGTCCACTGGTGTGGATCGCATCCTGGGGACAAGACTGAAGAACCCCATTGGAAATAAAACAGTCCTCGACGACCCACTGACTTTCTCGAGTTATCCTGGATGGCTAACCCTTCAGGGTTAAAAATCCGAACTAAATCTTATGACTATGATAACTAGTAAGTTTATTTAGGTACAGGCAAACATTTATTTATTTATTTATTCTATGTCTTTGCAAACAGTACGTTGAGATTTTGTATTTAAAATAGTGGGTTACAGTGCAAAGAGAGCCTCTATTATGCTTAGGCATTATGGGCCAACATAAGCACAGTTACACAAATTTAGGTGACTACAATTATCATACATAGTAACATATGTGTAAATTACCTAGGATAACCGAACACGGTCAAACGAAGAGAGATAAGATAAGATAAGAGTTCGTTCGGATTTTTAACCCCGGAGGGTAAGCCACCCAGGATAACCCAAGAAAGTCAGTGCGTCATCGAGGACTGTCTAACTTATTTCCATTGGGGTCCTTAATCTTGTCCCCCAGGATGCGACCCACACCAGTCGACTAACACCCAGGTACCTATTTGCTGCTAGGTGAACAGGACAATAGTGTAAGGAAACGTGTCGAAATGTTTCCACCCGCCGGGAATCGAACCCGGGCCCTCCGTGTGTGAAGTGGGAGCTTTAGCCACCAGGCCACCAACTTATTTCCACTGGGATACTTGTGATGTCTTATTCGGTGGCTGGGTGATCCAGGAACAGTATCCCCACCACCCCAGCTTTCTGCACTCCAGTGCACGCAATAAACAAACAGTTCAGAGTAAGGTGCAAGTTTGTAATGAAGTTAAAAATCAACACTGAAGACAAGACGATAATCAGAAGAAACATTCACAAGTTATGCGATGGAAACTAGTTTCACAGTTTCTTCACTAGAAATGCCAAACTAACAGTCTGAAACCAGTTCAAACCTTCCGCTAAGTGTGATTCGTCAGATTTAAAAGCTTAAAGGCAATCAGACAAGGCATTCTCCAGATGCTGTATAGAGACTAATATCCAGAAATACACCATCTACTCAAAGGCTACATTCTCATGTCATCGGAACTGAAGGTTTAAAGACGATCTGATTTCTCATCCCAGTATGTTGGTGCAAATTTCCCATTTTTGGTGAAGTACTGTTTACCGTGAAATAACAGTTTCGTGGACAAACTATTGTCCTGTGGCTCGACTGTTAGCACAATCGGCTCACACTGAGGTCCCTGGTTCAAGTGGAAACATTACGACGTATTTAAGACACCTGCTGTCCCTGTTCGCCTATCTATATATATAAAAAAAAAGTGGGTCGCATCCTGCGGATAATTTATCCAATTTGCCCGAAATGCTCTGCATAACAAAGGGGTTTCTACAATGTAGTATGTCACATTGATGTCAGCCAGGTATGTATACCTTGTGCATGTACTTGTAGAAATAAAGATTAATATTATTATTACTAATATTATTAAAGTTTACGCTGTTGCATTCCGAGCAACAACTGAAGAATCAGTCTTCTGCTCAGCTTCAAACTTTCAGTGATGGTGTACCTTTTTTAAAGGAAGGTTAGCATTGATTTTGCGTTGTGTATATGTTAATGTGTCAATTTTATTCAAACCGATTTTCAATGCAACAACTAAAGAATGCTTCTTCTGGTCGCAATCAAACTACAAACTAATTTTTTTTTTTACTTCAATCTACCTTTCTTTTCTTGGAGCAAATAAGAGGTATGCAAATTCCAGTTATTTAAATAGCCAAAATTGTTTTCCTACGGGTCTGCAGAGAATGGGAAGTGTAACAAAAAATACGGCGGCCGGTACCGTGACTCGAACAATGTACAAATACGGCGGCCGGTACCGTGACTAACAATGCACAAATAACCCGTGTGTAGGAGACAAACTTATGACGATGTTTTGGTCCCGAACGCCATCATTAAGTTTCAGTCTCGTACGTAGGGGCTATTTGTGTGTTTACCTGGAGTTTACCTGGAGAGAGTTCCGGGGGTCAACGCCCCCGCGGCCCGGTCTGTGACCAGGCCTCCTGGTGAATCAGAGCCTGATCAACCAGGCTGTTGCTGCTGGCTGCACGCAAACCAATGTACGAGCCACAGCTCGGCTGATCAGGAACTGACTTTAGGTGCTTGTCCAGTGCCAGCTTGAAGACTGCCAGGGGTCTGTGGGTAATCCCCCTTATGTGTGCTGGGAGGCAGTTGAACAGTCTCGGGCCCCTGACACTTACTGTATGGTCTCTTAACGTGCTAGTGACACCCCTGCTTTTCATTGGGGGGATGGTGCATCGTCTGCCAAGTCTTTTGCTTTCGTAGTGAGTGATTTTCGTGTGCAAGTTCGGTACTAGTCCCTCTAGGATTTTCCAGGTGTATATAATCATGTATCTCTCCCTCCTGCGTTCCAGGGAATACAGGTTTAGGAACCTCAAGCGCTCCCAGTAATTGAGGTGTTATGCGCGCCGTGAAAGTTCTCTGTACATTTTCTAGGTCGGCAATTTCACCTGCCTTGAAAGGTGCTGTTAGTGTGCAGCAATATTCCAGCCTAGATAGAACAAGTGACCTGAAGAGTGTCATCATGGGCTTGGCCTCCTGTCATTTTTCTAGCAGATGCGATTGATACAATGTTATGGTCCTTGAAGGTGAGATCCTCCGACATGATCACTCCCAGGTCTTTGACGTTGGTGTTTCGCTCTATTTTGTGGCCAGAATTTGTTTTGTACTCTGATGAAAATTTAATTTCCTTATGTTTACCATATCTGAGTAATTGAAATTTCTCATCGTTGACCTTCATATTGTTTTCTGCAGCCCACTGAAAGATTTGGTTGATGTCCGCCTGGAGCCTTGCAGTGTCTGCAATGGAAGACACTGTCATGCAGATTCGGGTGTCATCTGCAAAGGAAGACACGGTGCTGTGGCTGACATCCTTGTCTATGTCGGATATGAGGATGAGGAACAAGATGGGAGCGAGTACTGTGCCTTGTGGAACAGAGCTTTTCACCGTAGCTGCCTCGGACTTTACTCTGTTGACGACTACTCTCTGTGTTCTGTTAGTGAGGAAATTATAGATCCATCGACCGACTTTTCCTGTTATTCCTTTAGCACGCATTTTGTGCGCTATTACGCCATGGTCACACTTGTCGAAGGCTTTTGCAAAGTCTGTATATATTACATCTGCATTCTTTTTGTCTTCTAGTGCATTTAGGACCTTGTCGTAGTGATCCAATAGTTGAGACAGACAGGAGCGACCTGTTCTAAACCCATGTTGCCCTGGGTTGTGTAACTGATGGGTTTCTAGATGGGTGGTGATCTTGCTTCTTAGGACCCTTTCAAAGATTTTTATGATATGGGATGTTAGTGCTATTGGTCTGTAGTTCTTTGCTGTTGCTTTACTGCCCCCTTTGTGGAGTGGGGCTATGTCTGTTGTTTTTAGTAACTGTGGGACGACCCCCGTGTCCATGCTCCCTCTCCATAGGATGGAAAAGGCTCGTGATAGGGGCTTCTTGCAGTTCTTGATGAACACAGAGTTCCATGAGTCTGGCCCTGGGGCAGAGTGCATGGGCATGTCATTTATGTGTAATAATATAATCGAGAAAGAAAACGGAAAAACGTCAAAACTAGCGTGTTTATGGAGCTTTAAGATTAGCGTCGAGACCACGCAACACTGGTCCGCTTCGAGACCACGCAACACTGGTCCGCCTCGAGACCACGCAACACTGGCCCGCCTCGAGACCACGCAACACTGGTCCGCCTCGAGACCACGCAACACTGGTCCGCCTCGAGACCACGCAACACTGGTCCGCCTCGAGACCACGCAACACTGGTCCGCCTCGAGACCACGCAACACTGGTCCGCCTCGAGACCACGCAACACTGGTCCGCCTCGAGACCACGCAACACTGGCCCGCCTCGAGACCACGCAATTAGGGTCTCTAGCGAGTCTCATGATAATGCTCTCTGAGAGCCCAGGTGGGTGTGTTGATGGGTGGGTGGATGGGTTCCTGGGAAGGGGTGGGTATAATAGCACTTCCTGAGTGGGTTCAGGCCAGACAGAAGAACTGGAGACCCAGAGCGAATATGTGAGTGTGCGCGTGCTCACCTAGTTGTGGTTGCAGGGGTCGATTCACAGCTCCTGGCCCCGCCTCTTCACTGGCCGCTAATAGGTCACTCTTCCTGCTCCATGAGCTTCATCATACCTATTCTTAAAGCTATGTATGGATCCTGCCTCCACTACATCACTTCCCAGATAATTCCACTTCCTAACAACTCTGTGACTAAGGGAAATACTGTGTGTGGGGAGGGAGCGTCATTTAGATTCTGCTACGAGGTTCTAGTCTCCATATTACAGGATGGGCAGAAAATGCTGGAAAACATTGAGAAAGATGACAAATCTAATCCCATGTATCAAATATTTTCTGTCAAGATAGGCTGAAGAAACAATCGGCACTCTGTGGAAAGGCGTTGAAACAGGGCGATTATCCGAGGATATGACTCAAGTGTACAGATGCAAAACAGGTATAAATAAAGGGGATATAAAGAACATCCTGAAAATTTGTAACCAAGACAAGACTCGTAGCACTGGATTAAAATCTGGCAAATTTAAATTTAGAAAGGATATGGGAGAACACTGGTTTAACAAGAGTTGTCGAGTAGAACGACCACTCGGGTAGTGTCACTGGGGGCTGCTACAGGGGACTGATATAGGGGTAGGCAGCTGGCACTGGGGGCTGGCACAGGAGGCTGGCACAGGGAGTGGGGTGGAGGGGAGGTGGCACTCGCTATTTCCTTACAAACTGCGGGGAAATGGATTTTGCTAAGGCATCACAACTCTTGCAACAGAGTTTAGTCTTGTGGATGCCTGGTGCCTTTACCTCGGGGAACTGCTTTCACGAATCAATAGACACCAAGCAACAATTTTTTGATCAGTGAATTTAAAACTACCCTATTTAATATTTTTCCGCATGTTCAGGCTATTTTCAATCATCTGGACTACGATCATCAGCGTCCGCATTTACAACATTTACCAATCCATAACTAAAATGAAAATTCACTGGGCTCTCTTGAGAATTAGTTTGTCGGCCTCTACTCCTGTCGTAAGCGTAGGCCTACTCTCGTGTCGTCTGAGAGCTTATTTATATGGCTGGCCCCATTTTTTCCTTCAATGCACACTGCTTAAGGTAACCCTGTCAACCAGTTACCTCGACTTTTCTTCCCATTACTCTGGCTTGAGAGATGGAAGCTTGATCATCCTCCTCCTAATGTCAGTGTGGCGAGGCAGCAATGATAGAAATATCCATCACTACTACTATGTACGGTAAATGGTTTTACAGCAGTCATTTTAGGAAGTCCATCAGTCTTTCATAGATATTCAATAGGTTTGGGAAAGAAGGATTTGTAAATTGTATCCATGGTGGTAATTGTGTGTTTATACACAAATAGCCCGCACATACCACGTTGAACGCACCGCTTCTCGTCCGATCAGCGAAATTAAGCAACGTTGGGTTTGGTTAGTACTTGGATGGGTGACCTCCTGGGAACACCAAATGCTGTTGGCATAAATCTTCTAAGGCCTGGTCACAGACCGGGCCGCGGGGGCGTTGACCCCCGGAACTCTCTCCAGGTAAACTCCAGGCAATAGGAGAATAAAACTTATTACGACGTTTGGGTCAGACTTGGACCATTAACTGGTCCAGCCATGGTATTGTGTATTTTTATTCTTAATATGTGTTTGTGTGTGTAGTGGAGGGAGGGCTGGGGAAGGCTAGTTAAGGAGAACATGAGAGAGTACGTACACTTACCTTTGAGTTAGGTGAGAACCAACTCCACAACACACTGAACACTGCTCCCATTGTGCTGGTAGCAGCCTCAACCACTCTGTTGTATCTGTAACACAAAAGAGTTCATCTTACAGATTCAACACCGCCATCACTTGCAAAAGGAAATAAATGTAACAGGCGTACTCGGTCGATGACAAGAACCATAAGGATTGGAAATGAGAATTAAAGATGCAGGAGGAAGGATAAAAAAAAAAAAAAAACGTAAAAATGAGGTTTATGGAGCGCTGGTTGATGAGTTGCATGTCAGCGATAAATAGTCACAACTCATTTAAGTATTTTAAACTCTCAGTCCATGGCCAACATTGATCATTCATAACCGGTATCAGCAAGCATTCCATTACATTAATTGGCGACCATTATCGCGGCAGCCAAGTGATTACTCAGCGAGATTATAAAAATGGGAATGAGAGGCAACAGGCTGGACCAGATGGAGGGAAGATCGAACAGTTAACATGTATAAAACAGCCCAAAATCTGGTAAGGAGCCATGTTAAATATTATAACATAAGTAACCTTTAATTTATGCTTCTTTACTCAAAATCTGTATCGATTTTGTGCTGAATATCGAAACTAAATCAAGGTGTATTCCGAACCCCCTTAATATTTCTGTTATCAGCACAAGGCGATTGTTAGTGATGGCATCTTGCAGCATGGTCGCCTTATAATCGGGGAAATTTTTTTTAAAGTTGGCCCAGAGAATTTTTTATTACGAACGCATCTAATAAATTACTTTCATAATCTTTGCCTCTCGATATCTTTGTGCACTCTACAGACTTATACAGATTTATCGCTGCTTCGTGAATATATACCACAATAAAAAATTTAGGGATGAAAACACGAGGGTTATAACGAGTGCAGCAGCAGCAGCAGCAGCAGCCGGTATCAGTCAGGTATCAGTCAGATATCAGAAGCATTCGCGTAAGAGAGGGATTTAAGTATCAGGAGGGGGATAGGAAAGAGTTAATGCAAACTGTTTTGTTGTTTGACTGACTCTCGCAACTCAGCGTAAAAATAGTGTCGACCTCCAGTGTACAATCACTAGATATCTAAGGTGAGACGAGTCTATCTTGTCTCCTCAGAGATCATTTCCTCACACGGAGTATCGAGGCACAAGACCAATGACATTTTTATGGCCACCTACAAATGATCTTACAGACAACAGTATAAATATGGACAATGACAATGATTATGAGGTTTTGTAGATTTAACTAAGGAAAACTCCAATGCATTCATAGATCAACAATGCTACAATACAGATTGACCTGGGATAAATCCAGATATACTCCTGTTAGCCATTTTGAGGCCTAGTTTTTAGGTCTTTTGTGTATCCATCTGCTCTTGCGATACTGTCCACAGGATGGATATGGAGTGCACAGTTAACCACCCACTTCAGCGGCAAAAATGTAAATGTAATCTGGGATTCAACAACTAATAAATCTTACACTCGGGGAAGACTGAGGATATAGGAGGCAGCTCAGCACCAAGCAAAGAGTAAATATTAATACCTGGCAGCCAGGAATACCCGTAAATTAACACACCACAGCATGGTTGCTGCTCGGCCAAGCAGAAGCAACTATACTCTCGTGAAACTTGCTGCTCCAGATGGGAAGCATACTAAATTTTTTAACAAGCTTCGTTACACTCGCAGTGTCTACACTATCATATACGAGACTTGGGTTGCCCAATTTCTTCCATAAAAAAAAATAAATTAGATTATATCCAGCGCGAATGAAATTCAAACTTAGCAATATTAACTTTAATGCTAAGATCAATATCCTAAAATACACCTTCAACCCTAAGACTGAAGGACTGATCACCTAAAAATTACCTCTCCACTTCTACTGCCTCCTGTTATGATTGTCTATACCAAGTCTGCCAGGCAGGCGGAAAGTTTCGAAGATAAAAGATACCGAAGTGTTGCATACGTGTTTCACTCATAACCCCAACCACCCAACACTTTCCTAATTAAACTGCCATTACGTAAGGAGGTTAACAACTCGGTATAAACAAAACAAAATTAGTCTGGTTTATTTCCATTTGTGTCCTGAGGGGCCTTTCCCCAGGATGCGACTCACAACTAAACCAGGGTGGGTCTCCACCCACTCTGGGATCAAAACTAGACCCTTCAGCGGTGAGGAGTTACCAACACCAATACCAACTAACGAGCTGGTATTGGCGTTTTCACCAGTACAGTGTTAACAACATTAGCTAGCTACTACGTACCCATTCTTGGTAGAGATTCTTGGAGATCTCTCAGATACTGTGTGTGTACTCACCTAGTTGAGGTTGCAGGGGTCGAGTCCAAGCTCCTCTGTGTGTGTGTGTGTGTGGGTGTGTGTGTTGTGTGTGTGTGTGTGTGTGTGTGTGTGTGTGTGTGTGTGTGTGTGTAGGGAACCATCATTCACATTACTAGCGTCTACAGTCTGCACATCCTTAATTTCTTCCATCCTTCACATTTTGAGTGTCTCTCCATTATTGGCAACTTCCTTCCCGTCACTCCCTCTCCTTCCCTTACAACTTTTCTCTAGCAAATGCTGAAAACACGAAGCAATAACTGCAAACTTCATTCATATAAAAAGTTCCATAAGCACAACTAGTTTTTTTGCAACTCACTAAAACTTGGTTAAGTAAACTTACTTAACCAATGTGCCGAAGAACTTTCTAACATCGCTAAGAAATCAATAAAACCTGAGAGAAAAGTTGTATAGAAATTGAATTTTCATTCACTGCTTTTGGCTATATTATTTAAAACTCGTTGATCCTCCCACAGCATCTATGACACTTTTTATCGTATAATTGTCGGTATCGAAAAGCCGAGAAATAAGACACTGGGTATTGTTACTGCCGGAATATTTTGCCTTCATCCGGCTGAGGAAGCCGGTTGCTACAGGCGACACTTTTCAACTATGTATATAACCAAGTGTTTCATTTATCACCCTTTCTCTTGCTCTATACTTGTCCCCTCTCCCCCTCTCAAACGATTTTATTATTAGCTTTTTCTGTGCCTTGTTTGTTGTTCCAACCCTTCATTTCTTTCTGCCTTCATGCCTCTTCTGCCTATCTCATTTCCGCTTTAACCCCAAAATTATGTTGAATAAAAACAACTTCAGCTCTATCCACTTATCTACACTCCTCCCACTTATATTCTACACCCCCTCATCTCCTCAGATAACTTCATCTCCCTCCCTCCTCCCAAGAACCTTCCCCCCCATCTTCTCTCCCTTGTACCTCTCCAACTTAACAATCAAGTCCTCTACCCACCCAGCACTGCTGCCGCCCACCCTCCTATCACACCCACTTGGTCCATCCACCACCCACTCTCTCTTCCCTTCTAACATTCTCTTCGGCTGCATCTCCATCATCGATCGCTTCTCTTAGTGCAACTTCACTTCCTATCTTCTATAGCACGTCACTATTTTGTCTCCCGCTTCCCCAGGCCACACTACAGTTTAGAAAAAAAAAAATGGGTGAAAATTTTATACGTCGCCATCACGAAAATGCGCACGTTTCTACAAGTACAACCTGCATCACTGGTGGTACATGGTCAAGGAGGCGCCCCTAGTAAATCATGTACTTACCACTACATTATAGCGAAACAGTCCCAGCACTGTGCATTATAGCCCTTGCATTATACACTGTCTCGCATCCGGTAAATCCTTGTTCAACTCGAGGACAAAAATGTACTCTGAATAACACCCACAGTGACGTGAATCTCCAATAGACAACAAAATCAAGTGTGAAATAAGACATGTGAAGCAGTAGGATATTTTAACGATGAAAAGTTTCGCCACGAATGACTTAGTCAATCCATTTCTTACCCAGGTTAAAGTCAAGTACCAACAGAATCTTTTCAAGAATGAAACTGTAATCTTGTCAATTATTAGGTAATTTCTCTACCAAATTACAGCGCAGAGTAAAGTCAGAGGCGGTTACAGTGAAAAGCTTTGTTCCACAAGGTACAATACTCTCTCCCATCCTTTTCTTCATCCTCACATCTGACAGACAGATGTAAGTCACAGTATCTTGTTCTCTTTTGCCGATGATACCAGAATTTGCACGACAGTGTCATCCACTGAGGACACAATCTCCACCAAGCGGACATTAATTAACCAAGTCTTGAAATGGGTTTGAGAAAACAATATGAAGTTCAATAGAGACAGATTTCAATTACTCTGCTATGGAAAACTCGAGGAAATAAAATCTGGACCGGAGTATAAAACAAATTCCAACCACACAATAGTGCGAAAAAAACTAATTTGAAGGACCTAGGAGTGATAATGTTAGAGGATCTCACTTTTCAAAGATCACAACAATATCACTACCACATCTGCTAGGAAAATTATAGGATCGCTTGTTCTCTCTGGGCTGGAATATTGCTGTACACTAACGGCCCCCTTTCAAGGCAGGCGAAATTGGAGACCTGGAGAATATACAGAAAACTTTCACTACACGTGTAAGTGCAATAAATCACGTAAATTGCTGGGAACAGTTGAAGTCTCTTGACCTATACTCCTTGAAACACAGGGCAGAAAGACATGACAATATACACTCTGAAGCTCTTTGAGGGACTAGTCCCAAATCTGCACATGGAAATCACTCCCTACGAAAACAAAAGATTCGGCAGCCGGTAAAACTTTCATCTAAAGAAAAGCAGGTGCGCCATGAGTACGCTAAGAGAGCACTTTAAGTGTCAGGGGCCCAAGACTGTTCAACTGCCTCCCAGCATACATAAGGGGGATTACCAATAGACCCTTGGCTGTCTTCAAGTGGGAGCTGGACATCCCCCTGAAGTCAATTTCTGATCAGCCGGGCTGTGGTTTGAACAGATTTACGTGCGGCCTGCAGTAACAGCCTGGTTGGTCAGGCCTTTATCCACCGTGAGGCCTGTTCATGGATCGCGCCGCGGGGACGTTGATCCCCGGAATATTCACCAGGTATACACCTCCAGGTACGCTGCAGCGCACTAGATGTTAGTTTAAACTTCGATTATCTCTATCATGCACTCCATGCCCATCCTGTGGGCGATAATAATACAATCAAATTGGGC